CCCTTTTGTCTCCCCCTCCTTAGGCAGCTGCCAGTCCCTTTCACGTGCCTGTCCTGTGACCGCCCGGTCAAAACGCAGGTTCCTGGCCCGTGAGTATCCCCTCTGCTTTGGGGGGGCTGCGTGAGTGGGATGGGGCTCAATGGCTGCCAGGGGTGACCTGCTGTGCCAGGCACAGGGGTGAGGGTGTCTGCTTGGGAGGGTCTGACCCTGCTGAGCCCCCTCCTCAGCCCTGCCCATCAAGAGAGTTTGTGGGTGCTCATCCCCAAGGGCTACAGGCAAGAGGTGCTCTGGGCTACAAGGCTGTGGGTTCTGGGGTACTGCCCCAAGCAAATGTGGGTTATTTGTCCCCTGTCACCAACCTGTGGCTTCTGCTCTCCCCAGGTATCCTGAGACACTCCCATATTTTCAGCCAATGCCCCCCAGCAAGGACCCACAGCAAACCCAAAGGTAGGGGACCTGAGGACACAGCCCTGGCTCCTGGGGTGCAGGATAGCCCTGCCCTAGCAAGGAGAGCTCTTCCCTGCATGGGGGCAGAGGGGCCCTGTGGCCTGAGCAGTGTAGGGGAGCAGAGGGAGGATTGTGGGGAATCAATGCTTGCCCGAGGTCTGGAGGGTTTTAAAGCCCTCTTTGCACTCCCCTGTGCTGAGCACTGATCAATCCTAGAACCATCCCACAGGAGAACAGTGGCCAGGGGCAGGATCGCCCGCGTGCTACAGAGCACTGGGGACCATCAGAGGATCAGCCACTTGGTGCAGCACACCCAGGCTTCCCCTGGGAACAACACGCGACCACAGGGCCTCATGGCACCCCCCAACAAGGTAAGGAAGGCAAAGGCATGGACATGGCAGGGGTGACCGCGGCTGGGAGAGGCTGAGTATCCAGGGGGAATTTGTGCTTTCAGCTGCCCCAGGGAGAGCTGGCTTGGGAGGGTTGCTGGGGGATGATGTGTTGGGCCAAATGTTGCAACCAACTGCTCTCTCCTTCCCAGACTAGTGTGACCAAGCTGCTGGGCAGCAGTAGCCACATCTCTAAGGGCCAGAAGGACCAGCCTCCTGTTGTGAACAGGGCACAGGGTGAGATGGGTACGTCCCTGTCAAGGCACAAGACCAGAGGGAGGGGGTACTGATTGTATGCTGGGGAGGGGGCTGGGGTGGGATGAAGAGGCAGAAGCAGAATGGAGCAGGAGGACTGGCAGATGGGGTGACTGGGGATGGAGGTGGAGCAAGGTGGGGGGATGGCCCTGGCCAGCGTGGGACAACAGCTTGTGTGCTGGTGGGTGGGTGGGGACCAGCACCCCCAACCCTGGGGGTCTCTGGACAGGCAGGTGTCCCTGCTGCCTGCCACGTCCTGGGCTGGCAGCGCTGCCCCAGCCGGGGGCTGCCCCTGGGAAGTGGGGAGCTCACCCCTGCCCCTTGTCCCCAGGCCCTTCCACCTCACAGGAGCAATGGCCAGCCAAGACCTGCAAGCCCAAGCACGTCTCCTGGGCACCGGAGCTTGTCCAAACACCCCTGCCCTGCTAAACATCACCTGCCCCCAAGCAGCCGGACAGGACTGGACACCGAGTACTCAACAGGGGACGTCTCTTCAGCAGACACAGAAGTCTGTTAAAATTAACCTCCAAAAGAGGTTTTATTAGGTTAATAAAAAACCTTCAAAATGCAGACGAAGCCTGGTCCCACCAGCCTCTCTCTTCCTCAGGCTCCCTGATGCTCCTCAACCTTTCTCCTCCCTCCTGTCTCTCTGCCACCAGACTGAGCACATCGTGCCCCGTGGCCAGGACTTGAGGCCAACGCTGGTCCCGCGGCACCTTGTGGGGCATCTCTGAGAATCTGGGGCCTGCTGTGGAACCAGGAGCAGCCCAGGGTGCGCTCAGGCCCCGGGGGCTGCAGAGCCCAAGCCCCTCTTGTCCTTCAGCTGCACTGGAAATGGCTTCAGGCTCAGCTGCTCCACACCCTTCCCCGGGATGGAGGTGAAGCCTCTGCTGGTCACCTCCCTGCTCCTGCTCCTCCTCGCTGTTCCTGGGGAGGGGGTGGCCCAGAGGCACCGTGTCCTGGTGTGGAGCAGCTTTTGAGGAGGAAATCAGCAATTTTTGACAAGGACACTGGCGAGGCAGCAAAAGAATGGGGAAGAAACAGCCCTGCCAGGGAAGCAGCACATTCCCAGCCCTGATTTTAGCCCTAGGGCTGCCCAGCTGTGGTGCCCCCAGGAGATGGGACACAGGCAGCCCCTACAAAAGCCAAATTGCACCTTTAGTTGTTCATAGGTCTCCCAGCACCAAGCAGAGACCTGGATCATGTGCCACCTCCAGAGGGGACATCCCAAAGGGACGTGCCGTTGGGTGCATGGAGCATTGGGTACATACTACTGGAATATGGACCACAGGTGGCCACAGCATGGCCAGTTAGAGCAGGGCAGCCACATCCACACAGAGATGCCACCTCCATTCTTGTCCCTATGCAGAGAGGCCACTTCCTGCCTCATCCCTCCCTCACTCCTGGACCGAACACAGCACTGACTCACCTGTCCAGCTCCAGGCATGAGCAGATCCCAGGGCTGAGGTCCCTAACTCGGATGAGGAAGGACATCCCAGGCATCACCTCTCCTGAGCTTCCTGTGATGCCCAAGGAGCATCACAGGTGGCAAGGTCCCCATGCCACCCTCATCCCACCCCTTTGCACACAGCAGTGCTGCGTCCCGGCCTGGGCTCCACTCCATGGATGGATATTAGGACAAAAAGCGGTGCAAAGATTACTGTTGGCAGAGTTTACCTGGTCCTCCACTGTGATTCAGGCATCTTTAGACTTCATGTTTTATTAATCCTCACTGTACAGTTAATGGCATTGAAAGGTGATGCCTGCAAAGGCCTGTGCTGCAGCAGCCTCTCTGTGAGATACAGGGGCTCGAGCACTTCCTTGTAAATATGCACATTGAGGAATTACATAGTGAGACTACACAAAAGATGGAGCTGGAGTCCTGAGCAGGAATATGATGCTTACAGCCTTTGCCTCCTGCCCCTGCCCAGCCCAGGGAAGGGCTGGCTCGATAGAAAACTCGCTGTTTTCTGCCAGCTGTACTGGATAAAGCCTCCTGTCCACAAAACCTGCTTTCTTCCCTCCAGGAGTGTTGGCTGGAAAAGGGGGCTTGCTGGTGACCTGTCAGGACAGCTCAACAGCCACTGCTGGAGCCATCCTCCCCCTTGGCAGTGAAGACAGGGTAACGGAGCAGAGGGTCACAAACCTCCCTGAAGCCACTGCTCAGGACTGAGCTGTGACAGTGGGATCACCCACAGGAGCCACCACCCCAGCACTGGGAGAGGATCCCACCCTTCAGTCCTTCCCAGCTGTGGAACCTTAGGACCTGACCTGAGCGAGCAGCAACTGCCTCCAAAAGCCAAGGGCAGGAGTGTAGCACCTTCATCAGCTCCCCATACTGCACCAGCACTGGGCTGAGCCCTATGGACCTTCTGTGACTGGAAATTCCTCCCAATAAAGTTCAAATGAATTATTCTTCTTCCAGCCCTTGGAGGACAGTGAAGCCCATGGACAGTGAAGCAGCAGCACCCACTCCAGAAATAAGCCATGTGGTGACCCAGGGACCCACTGATCTTGCCCTGCTGTTTTAGGAGATCCCAAGACCCTGCACTGCACAGGGTCAGGGAACTGCTGGAGAGACAAAGTCCCAATTATTTGTTCCTGACAGCAACTCTTACTCACCTTGAAAAAGGAAAGTCAGGGACCACACTGCACAGACCCTGTTACAGCTGTATGGACAGTTTTCATGGTGCTGTCATCAGTCATCTGTAACTTTCTCAGGGCCTTGCTCTGGAACCAGCCCACCAGCTGCACATCTCACCTGCTACTGGAAAGAATTTAAAACTTCCAGGTAATCATGGTAATGGAGAATTTTAAATCCAGGAACAGGAAGAGCCAGAAAGCAAGGGGGAAAGCATTCAATTTTTTCCTGTATCTTAGGGCAGCTGGCAATATGTTCCTATAAAGGATCTACAGCCACTGGGTGCAGGAAAACACAGCAGGAAGAGATGGATGTTTTGTTGCTGTATGAGCAGTGCCAAGCCAGGGCACAGGCAGTCAAGGAAGTTTCCAGCTGAGATGCTGTAGAACAAAAAAAGCACCAAGCCCTGGAATAAATCCCTCCAGTCCTGCCTCATCAGTGACAGTAACCACACAATGCTCAGAGCATCCATATGGGCATGGGGTAGGAACACAAGGAGAGGAAAGGCAGGAGGCTGGGAGCTGGCAGTTCCTCCCAGACTGTTCCACTACAATTCCCATTTCCCAATTCCCTGCAATTCCCACTGATCCCTTTCTCTGAAGGTCTGTGGTAGGTGAGCTGGAAGGGATGAGGATGACCCGACCCCAGCCTCTGGAAAACGAAGGTGGCACCAATCAAACTGGAGTGGGTGCCAGCATCAAGGGGAGGTGGGTCCAGTGCAGCATCCTGCAACACTCCTCACCTCTGGGCATTGGGGATGTGTCAGTGAGGGACTGGGGAGATAATCATAGGGGAAAATCACCATGGATGAATAAATAGCACCACCACCTCACAGCTCAGGAGATACCTGACAGCAGGAGCTGCCCCAGGTGTTGGGCCTGGCTGTCCTCACCTCTGGCACGGGATGCAGGAGAGCAGAGGCCACTGGGTGCCAGCTCTGGCACAGCTCACGCCCAGGGCATCTCTGCAGCCTCCCAGGCAGCTGCAGAGCCCAAAGACAGATGGCTCAAGGTCACTGCTGTGGCTCAGGGCAAGGGGGACAGTGCCACAGCCCCATGTCCCCAGCCCCTGCTCCGCAGAACACCCTGAATACACCCCAGCAGCCCCGGGGTGCCCGACTTCAGCCACAGAGTTTATTGTTTAGTACGAGCTCACCACACCAGCAAGCCAGGACAGGGGGGTGGTACATGAATACAGATGTGGAGGAGTTACACAGACAGATTTGTACAGCTTTTGTACAGAGGAAGAAAATGAATCAAATAACAAAATAGACATTAGCAGTCAAACCTTTTTTTTTTGTCTTTTTTTTTTTTTTTTTATATCATACTAACAAAATCTGATAGCCAAAAAATGACTAAGCTACAAAATTGTAATACATACTGTACGGGTAAAAGGTTATCATCCATTTATACATCTAGTATTGTCTTTATTCTGGTAACTTACATGAGGCCTATGGGATCTTAGTGTATTAATAACTCCCTACAGATAGTGCTGAGCTGCTAAAGCTGCCAAATAATGGAGTACTAGAATTTTTGTTAAGACTTTTACAGTGTAATTTGCATCATTTTGTTTAATGAAACCCTCATGCATCTCTACTGCAAGCCAGAGGAGCTGCTGGTGGCTGGGGTGAGGCAGGAGCTGTAAGGCCTTGGCTGGCAGCCTGACACAATCATTCCATAGGGCACCAGCACGGTGCTGCCCCTTGCTCCAGCTCTCTGGATGCTGCAGGAGGGATAAAGCTGAAATCCCCAAGCAAGACAGATTCTTTTCCCTTTGGTCTTGTGAGTTAGAGAAGAAATCACTCAACACAGAGTAGTCTCCATTCCAAAGGCTTTTTTTTCACTGGATAGCAGCTCAGCTTTCAGCAGAAAAGCATCACTAACTGTCAGGGTAATGCCACTGGCCCTGGGGCTGCTCCCACAGCCGGGGTGCTGGTCCTTCCCTCGGAGCCCAGAGCTCCAGCAGTGCGTGACCTCCTGCTCCCGACCCTGCAACTCTGGGGTACGATGCTCAGGACCCAGCTCCAGATGGAAAACCAGCGTGGCACTCCTGGGCTGGGAGAAGGGCTGGGGAGAGCACAGCCCCCCACACCAGCTCTCGGGGATCGAGAGAAGAGCGAGGCTGAAGCCGAAGGGGGAGTGAAGGCACAAACAGGAACCAGCCTGGATCGACAACAGGAGATGGTGCATCAGCGCTCCAATGCCCTTGGAAACCTCTCCCGAAGAACCAAGCCAGTGAGAACAAGTATTGTGAAGTACTTTATACACCACCACATAGGCAAAAATAGCACTCAAACTTACAAATAAATAGAGGGGCTGGGGAATCTCCTCCTTGTCCCTTCCAAGTCTGTCCCTAGTTTGGTCTCTTATAACCTCAGAAGGGCAGCCAGAGCCCAGTGCCCTGGGGAAGACTGTGCCAATTTTGGAGAGGGAGGACATGACTGAGGTCTAACCCCTCCTGGCCCCTTACACAGGGTTGGGTTGAAGCCCAGATGACATGTGTGACAGCATGTCCTGTTGGTGTTGTGGTTGGTCCCATTTGGGAGCAGCTCCCATGGACCTGCACCCCAAGGGTGTTGGGAGCTTCACCCCACTGCCCATTTGGGTACAGCCCTGCAACAGGACAACCACAGAGCCTCCACAGAGAGCCAAGCAGTGCTATCAGCTCCTGGCTGATCCTTAGGGACCAGTACAGCTCTTTACAGCCAGAAAAGACCATCAGCACCAACTCTGAACCTGCTCTGACTCATCTGCTGCTGTTCTGCACTGTCACCCGAGCTGAACGGGAAAAGCCACAGGTCTGAGCTGCTCTCAGGGGATGGTCCCCAGGAGGAGGCAGGAGCCAGAGACTCCTCCAGCCTGACAACTTCGGATCTGATTAACAGAACCAAATAAATGGTCTCCATAACCACTCCTGGTGAATCCTGCCCTGTACAGAGCCAAAGGGAGGTGGAAAGCACAGGTATCATTCCTCTGTAGGTGAAGGCAGCTGGTCACAAGTCACCAGAAGACCTATCAGGGAAAATAACTTACAAACCAGAATGG